GGAACTGTTAGGAAGCTGAAAGTGAAGTCCTTCGACAGTGCCATCTTAGTTCCAGTGAGTGGGAAAAGAAACCGGAAGTCAACATGTGGGGAGCGGTCCTTGTCCATTCTGACAACAGTTCCCCAACACCAACCCAGCCATCTACAATTTAGTTCAGTGCTGTCATAAGCCACCTGGAGTTAGAATGGACACCACAGGTTAGAGGGCGAAGTCCCCAGCGAGACTATTTCAGACACCAGCCACAGGGGAGGTCCCCAGGACACCCACATTTATGACTGATTTGCCTACATATTTGGGTTCCCATGTTCCCTCCTCCATGTTGGACGGAGACCAATTAAGTCATAGAGCCCAAGAAAGCTCTGTGCTGTGACTGCAGCTTTATTCTGAAGGCTACAGTTTTCCAGGAAGGGCCGAATAAAGCAGCCTAGGGAAGAAGCTAACGACTGGGTCTCAGAGTGGGTGCCCCCTGGGTCACCTCCCTCTCAGAACTGTTCATCAGCCAGTGTGTGTTGCTGTGACAGGAGATCTGAGCCTGGGCCCTTCATAAGAAAAAGCAGCTCATTTCAGCTCATGGACTTGGGGGTGAAGGATCCAAGCTCAGCTGGCCACATCTGACCGGGACCACACACTGTCCTAAGACAGCAGATGGCTTTACGTGGTGAAAATGAGTCCAAACACAGCAAGCAGTGCGTACGGGAGGGCTCAAACTTGAGGAGACCTTGCTTTATATAACAGCCCACTGTCGGGGCAATGAATTGAGGTCAGAGACCAAAGAGGAACACTGACCCCTGCTAAGGGTGGTGCCCTTGTGCCTGAGTCCCTCCCACCAGACTTTGCCTCTAAAGGGTCTGTCACTCTCAACAGCTTCTAGCACACGAACCATCGCAAGTGGGGTTTCACTGCAGTGTACAGTTGATTGCTTCACTGGCCACAGGACTGATTCCTCACCCTTCACACCCAGGTGAGCCTGGCCGAGGTCCTATCCTCTAATCTTGTGCCTGGCTCCTCTGGTGTTCAGCCCTATCTTTAAGCTGTCTCAGGGTCTCGTTAGTCTAACAAGGACACTGCTGTCACTCAGGTTATTCCAACAGGTAGTTTTCTAAGCTCTCTGCCAAGATCTGAGGTCCAACACCAAATGCATTCTTGATGATGTCACACTGCTCCACCTGCCTGACTTCAGAAGGGAAGTTTATAGATGTCGTCCTTCCTTGCTTTTTCTGTGGCTGGTGATCCCAAGACTGAGTTCTGGGAAATTTGGTCCCCAGCAGCGAGGGCATTTTGAAAGAAGCTTAGTTTGGTGGAACACAAGAAGATGAGGTTGCACAAGGACGTTCTGGATGAGATGGCTTTAGGATCACCTCCAAGGGACACCCTCAAGAGTGCAAAGGAACCAGGGCCATGGAGTCGTTAGGAGACTGACCTGCTCTCAGCTGGGAGGAAAGGAGAGACAGTGGAGGGCTGGAGGAGAATTAGGAGGGCCTGTCTGGCCTTCCTTCTCTCTGGGTCTGCGGGCAGAGTTTGGGCCTGGGGTCCCCCTTGCTGTGATAGGAAGAGGCATCCAGCTGTATGCTTGGAGCTGCCACTAGACGGTCCCTGGAATAGGCGACAGGGGCTGTGCACTGTCACCCCTCAGTGGTAACACCCTCCCCCAACTAGCTTTTGCCTCACTCCCCATGTTCCTTCCAGTATCTGCTTAGGAGTTAAGGCGACTAAGAGCCAAACTGGCCAATCAGAGACAGCAGGCTATTCCTACCCTGTGCCTGCCCGTCCTCCTGATTATGGAGTAAGAATTTAGCTACTCAGGACTTGCACTAGTCAGAGGTCCCCAAGAAAAGACAAGAGCTTGGATGGAGAAGGGGAGATGCCTCACAGGAGCTGGCTCAATGCTTGGGTTATGGGGCCAAGTGTAGGATCTGCTGTCTGCAGAGTGGTGTCTGCGAGCCTGCAGGCCAGTCCACTGGGCTGATGGTGTCAGTCCCAGCCAAGGGCCACAACCCTGAGAACCCAGGAGGGCTATGGCGTAAGTCCTGGAAGCCAAAGGCTGGAGAACCAGGGGCTGTGATGTCTCAGCAGTTCCCGCTGACCCAGCTCAAGAGAGAGAGATTGCCTTTCCTTGGAAGGTTTCTTCAGACTGGACCTTTGGTGGATTGGCTGATGCTCCTCTCCTATCCTGATATTCTTTACCTGGTCCATTGATTGAAATGCTAATGTTTTAGCAACACCCTCAGAGCAGACACACCCAAAAATACTGTTCTACCCCATAGTGGGGCATCCCTTCTTCCAGCCAACTCGTGTACAAAATTAAACCTCACAGGGCTCTTGGTGACATGCAATACTCATAGACTCTGACTTATAAAACAATTTAAGGTCATCAGGGACTTCAGCCAGTCAACAGAAGGGCTGGAGAGACAAACTCAGAGCCGAAGCCCAGCCCAGGTAGAGTCGCAGAGGCGATGTTCTTCGGACACCACCACAGGGCATCATCTGGGACAGGGGCCACCATGGCCCCACTTCTGGGTTCATCTTGGCTCATCCCCTCGAGGTCTACACTGCAGGCTGCAGGCTCTGACTGGCTTGGATGCAGGCAGGAGCCCATGCTCCAGCTGCTGGGGGCAGAGGTGGAAACTGTCATGGGAAATGGGGCCCTGATTCCCACCGATGCAGGAACTTCCCCCAGATGAGGAGTGTTCCTGAAAGCAAGATAACCAGAGCCACATGTGCACTGTCCACAGCCAGATATAAAATTCTACACCGATGGTATCATTTTATGCTATCAGTTAATTTTCAAATGTATATTTTTGTTAATTTTGCCCTCAGTCTGCTCTGTGTTCCTTTGTAAGTAGCTTTCTTTTGATCTCTGAGTACTCCTTGAGAATTTCTCTGTGTCTGACATATAGAGGAATTTGCTTAGGAGTTCTGCTTGGGAACCCTTGTGCCTTTTCATTTTAAAGATGCTTGCCTTTCTTCAGTTCCAGAAAATTCTCAGCTGTTATGTCTCCAACTATTGCTTCTCTCCTATTACTGTCTTTTAAAATTCCCATTAAAAATGTTGGTGCTTTCGTTTTTCCTTATCTCTTTACAGATAGTAGTGTTTCCTGGTCATCTGATGCTCTTCTGGGTTTAAGAGGGCTTCTTCAAATGTGGTGTCTGGCTCTTTCTCTCTGTAGTTATGTCTGACTGATGTTTAACTCATCCATTTCACTTTTGTTTTCAGCGATGGCAGTTTTTCTGTTTGGTCCTTATGCCTGTTCTTTCTTCATAACTGCCTAGTTCTTTTTCCACGGTGTTCTTGCTTTAGGGTTTCTAGCACTCTTGTCTTTCCATTACTTGAGATATTTTTCCTTCTTAGCCTTGTCCAGAGACTATGCTTCCATGCAGCCCCTGGAGTCCTGTGTCTTCCCCTTTCCTGCACTCCAGCTCTCCTCTTGAGATTTCTTTGTGTGGCCGATACTTTTTTGTCACATTCAGTAGGAGGTTTTCATTCCGTCATGTGAGGGTGGTTGAGCCCAAAAGAGCTCTCGGTGCCTTTCATTGTGAGCATTTCCCTCCAGTGTGGCTCTGCCTTTGCTCTCCTGGGTACATCTTCAGGTAGTTCTCTGAGGTAAGCCAGAGAGAAGAAAGAATACATTTACAAAGAGTTGGTGTCTCTCTTCCCAAGAAGGGCACTGGGCTGAGTTGGTTCTGTTTGTCTCTTTTCCTTACAAAAGCATAAAACCTACAAGTGCTCGCCTCTGATTCGGGCCAGAAGCCCAGGAGTACAGGTATGAAAGTCCAGTTCAAACCAGCCTAGGGCAAGTAGGCAAATTTATATGGCTGACAAGGGCAGAGGAAGTATACATGACCTGGGCTCTCCATCGTTGGTGTTTGTGAAAGGAAGAACTTGTCTCCTGTCTTCTCTTCCTCTGACCACCCCCACCCCCGCCTCTTTAGATGTAATTGAAACACAACTACAAGATCAATGAGGCCATTAGAATCACAGCTCTGAGTATGTCCCTCCTAGCTCAAATCCTTTAGAGACTCACTTTGTGCCTCTGGTAGAAAGTCCAAATCTTTGTAGTTGACCAAGGGTCACTCATGTCTTCAGCTTCCTTTCTTCCTTCCATATCCTCTAATTCATTCCAACAGAACTACTCTCTGTTCCTCTCCTTCCCACCCTGAACTGTCCCTGCTCTGAGCCCCAGCAGCATTGCCTATGGCCCTGGTCCTCTGCATTCATATTCAGAGTTGCATTTGAGTTACTTATGTATGCGTCTAGTCCCAGCTCCTTTGATCCTCTAAGCTCTTGGAGGACAGATGTTGTACCTGATTTCTCTCTCCACCTACCACGGTGCTGGAAGGCCTATTACAGATCTGCTCTGAAGGAAGTAGAGGATGACACCCCGAGCCCTCTCATGGGGAATCAGGTTAAGCCAGATGAGTGGCTCCTGAGCTGCACAGGGCAAGTACATACTCTTCAGCTCGTTCTTGTGTAGTAGTGTCTTCGGTATCATTGCTTTAGTGCAATAAAAGGACTCATTCCTGGCAGTGAGGCTGGAGCACAAAGCGAGAGTTCCTGGTGCCCACACAGGGTTCCTGCCTGCCCCATTCCCAGGCTTCCTGGTCGGGTCCCACTCCACAGCACTTCCTTCAGGGTGCTCACTCGGCTTGGCAGGACAGTGAACCCTGCCTGGCACAGCCACCTGTTGGTGCCAATGTGTCATCTTCCGAATCTGATAGACACCTTGGCACACTCCACTACTGGCTCTGCACACAGATCTACTCACTTAAGGATGCTCACTCAAGCGTGGAGTGTGCCGGGACTGGCCCCGGAGTGGACAGAGTGGAGTGCGGAAAGCATTCATGCAAACAGGGAACCCACGGGAGCTGCTGTGTGGTGAACAGCGTCTTTTTCACAGTTCCACTGAGCCTGTTACAGCACCTGGCGTGTGACAGACACACCAGGCCAGTTTTTAAACAAAGGAATGGGTGAGTTAATGTGGACATCTTTTGATCTCTGACAGATTACAACAGCAGTGAACTAAAAACAGCCTGCAGGAAGCATGAGCTTTATGTGAGCTTCCAAGACCTGGGATGGCAGGTGAGTTCGTGGGTCAGTAAGGTGGGGGGAAGGTGCTTTCTCAGCAGCTTGTCCTTACCTGGAGCGGGGTGACAGCTGACGTCCAAGGCCAGAGCATCAGGGCCTGCGGAAGTCCCCAGAGGCCTCAGACTCGTGAGTGAGCCGACTTTCTGGGGTTACCAAGTTCCGTGACCCCTCAAATTCAGTGTCCACACTGCCCAATGCAATCACCTCATTCTTTCAAAGCCCACACAACATATGTTTACTTGGGCATTTGAACAGTTTTTGTTTTGAAACAGGGTTGGAAAAAAATAATCTAATGGCTAACTTCTTCAGTAGCTATAAATTGCCTCAGCCAAATTATTCAAATAAGCACAGACTGCCTCACAGCTGAGAGCCACCACTAGTTTGTAAGAAAAGCAAACGAGCTGATGACAGGTGGTGAGCGCACGTTTGTGTGTGTTGTGGTATCGCTGTGACAGGAGCACCAGTGGCTCAGGAGGGTCTTGTGGGTTGTTACAATTTGACTTAAAATGGTTTGGCTGGAGTTTTCAACTTTATGATGGTGTAGCACTGAATTCTGAATGGTCATCTTTCTGGGCTGGCAGTAGTGGTCCAGTCCTCTCTCCTGATGCTGGGATGTGCGGGGAGAACACAGTGCAGTGTGCTGCTTGGCTGGCTGTCCTGAAGATTAAGTGTGCTAAGTGCGTTTCTGACATATGATGGCTTCTGTGGGCCATGTCCCCAGAGGTCTAGGAGCATCTGTCCATGAACAGCCGCCTGTGCCATTCCATGCGGACATGAACAAATGCCAGATCCTCCCCGTGTCTGCCTTCTAACCTGTCCAACATGGTGTGCCACTGTCTCACGGGATTCTGAGCACAGATGGTATGGGAACGAGTGTGTGTTCATTTTCCGTTGTTTCCTTTTGCTTTGAAATCAAGGACTGGATCATCGCACCCAAGGGCTACGCTGCCAATTACTGTGATGGAGAATGCTCCTTCCCGCTCAATGCACACATGAATGCCACCAACCATGCCATCGTGCAGACCCTGGTGAGCCTTCTGATTTTCACGAAGGGGGATGAAGCCCACGCTAGGTGGCATCATTTCTTTTGGTACCAGGAATTGAACTCGGGTCCTTGCACTTGCGAGGCGGGCGGCGGCACCACTGAGCTAGATCCCAGGCCCTAGGTGGCATCATTTCTAAAGGTATGCTTTGTTTCTGGCACAGGTTCACCTCATGAATCCGGAGTACGTCCCCAAACCATGCTGTGCCCCGACAAAACTAAATGCCATCTCTGTTCTTTACTTTGATGACAACTCCAATGTCATCTTGAAAAAATACAGGAATATGGTTGTGAGAGCTTGTGGCTGCCATTAACTCGAAACCAGCTGCTGTGGACATATTTTACACCCCGAAGTCCTGGGTTACACCTGCCTTAAAAACCAGAACAGTAGCACAGAGCTGCACATTGGAAGTGGGAGGAGGAGACCTGAAAGCATCTCACGCTGGTGCCTTATGAGCTGCCCAGGAAGATTTCCAAGGGAACCCGCTAATAGCTTGCTCACTTCATAGATATGTGAGTAGTTGCTGGTCTATAGGAATTGGAATGTCTGGTGTGTGAGATCTGGGAACTGCCGAAGCACAACTCTGAGGTCCCCCTTTGTCCCCCAAATTTAGTCTTAGCTTTATATCAAGCTGTGTTATTGGTGAAGAAACAGGAGAATACTCTTGGAGGAGTGTAAGTATTCCCGGACAAAGCACCGGCTGCTGCAATATCATCAAAGTAGAGTTCTGAGATTGGAGGGGACCTCTCTTCCCAGGAGGGTGAGTTCTGATCAGATCAGCAGCTGGGCCCCCGACAGCGCTCCACAAAGGTGCCTTCTTCTCATGCCCGTTTGTGCTAGTGTCATTGGGGTGAAAATGTACTTAGTCAAAACAAACCACCCCATTTCCACATCTGCTCCCCACCCCCACCCTTTGCTACAACTAATAGCAGAGCAGTTGATTCTGAGGCTGTACAGGGTGCAAAGTCTTCGCCGCGACTTTCATTTTAACCCAGTGGCGTCTGAAAGTAGCACTGCCCCGTCCTGTGTGGGGTGGGCTCTCTGCAAAGCTCGGTAACTCCGCATCTTATCTACCCATCAGCACCAACTACACGGCATCTGGTGCTGTAGGGTGAGGCCTAGGAGGGAAATCATCCTGTCCCGGCAGTGGGTTCTGAGGTGAGCATGCTGTTTATGAACCGAAATCACAACGTTCTCTTGTAGAAAAATAAGATTCAGATTAAATCTTAGAATATTTTTAAAATGTCTTTTTCACAATCATGTACTGGGAAACCAATTTCATACTAAACTGATTAAATAATACATTTATAATCTATAACTGTACTTACAGCTTTTTTTGTAAATAGAAACTAATTTATTGTTTCCTATCCATTTTTGCTGTAACATTTAAGGAGACCATACTTTTTGTTTTTTAAAAAGAGTTTATTTAGAAAGTATAGTGTAAACAAATCGTACCACCTTGATCTGAATACAAGACTCATAACGCAAAGCTGAAGCCACTCGGGATGCCGGCCTTCTTGGGAAAATTGGGTTCTTTTACTGCACATTTGTGAACCACGTGCAATTAATAAAGATGTCCTTTAAGGCAGAGGCTGGCCGAGATGCTGCTGTTAGCTCCTGCCCAGACAGTAGACGTGGTCTTGTTTCTGAGCTTCCTACACCAGCTGCACTGTGCCCAGTGTCCCCGGGAGGTGGGGGAGGGGGCTGCCCACAGAATGGGTATTGCGAAAAAGAACTCGATGTTCAAGCACAGGTATGTGTCTTGTCCTACAGTTGCTTATATCCAAGGGGACAGTAAAAGTCTTTAATAACCAGGATGGCACGAGTCAGAAGGGTGCCAGCATCAGTACCGGCACAGCCCTGCGGACTTTAGTCTTTGGTCTTGAGGCCCAATGAATCCCACTGTTCGTACATCATGAGGTCGACCTTGTGGGAGGCAGACAACACAGAGCAGGCTGCTGAAAGGACTACTGAGGGGCAGAAACTTTCTAGGAGCCCGGAGCAGGGCTGCAGGTCCCTGGAAGGCCTACCTGGTCCTACCGCCCTAGGCCGCAAATGCAGCGGGAATCTCTCCAGAGCTGACTGATGGATGGATGGACAGCCAGGACCAGCCGTAGGGAAGACGTCGGAATCTCTTCATGCACATGGACTCGGTTGTGCTCACTCTAGGAACTACTGAACTCTGTCAGCCTGTGAGTCCGCTGCACAACAGCTGACTGGCAGTTGTGTGCTCACACACAAGGCGAGCCTCAGAAGTACTGCTGCTTTCATTACGGCTGGTCTCTTGTGCTGAGAGAACACTAACAGAAAATCAGCAGGGGCTGAGGGGGGATCTTCCAGAGGCTTGGGTTTTTGTTTTGAAATCTGTTCCAAGCTATAGTCCAACCCTGTTATTAATTAATAGTCGATTATGACCTTCAGATTAGAAAGACAACAATACTGCCCTAGGGCCGCCTTTCCAGGACTCGGGGCAGTTTAAAAAAGACAAAACAAAACTAGGCTTTTGGGTGATGTTTTTGCCAGAATCAGTTGGGAGCCAAAAATAGCCCAGCAATTTGATTTCCCTTGACTCTGTTTCAGTCTCAAAGGAAACCATTTAATTTCATCAAGGGAAGGTAGAAGGATGGATCACCCCCCACTCCAAAATGCCCAGTTTGCACAGTGACCAAGAGTTACGCATCAATTTAGGGAAAGTTAAGAATCTGCAGCGTGTGTTGGCTTAAACACACACACAAAGAAGACACTACAATTCAGTACATTCATCTGTGAGTTACCAGCACGGAAACTCCATGTCTGAACGACATCACTCCTCTCCCCGGGTGGTGGGATGGTGTCTCCAGCAGGGTCTCTACAGTTCGTCTTTCGCCTGGCGCAGAATGAAGTGGTGTAAAGACTTGAGGTCTCTACCTCCGCTGTGCTCACTGATTTTTTTACCTCCGCGGAAGAGCAGCAATGTGGGATAGCCTCGGACCTTTAAAAGCAAACAGAACAGGCTGGGAACCAGGGCTCCAAACCCAACGCAGATAAGCTCCTTCAGGTAAGGCTGGGAATCCCAGGGCTCATTTCTAAAGGTGTATTTAGAGGACAAAAGGACCAGTTTAAAACAGCCAAGCCTCAGGGCGAGGTGTCACTTCCTGATCCACAACTGCCCTGAGGACTGGTGTCACAAAGTTGACTTTGCACAAACTTTACAACTGGATCTGGGGCCTGCGAGCTCGGCTGTGGACCATGCCTTTCTCCCCTGAGGATTTCAAGGCACAAAAAAACAACTGTTTCTGTTAATGAGTAAATGACATTTGCATTACATCTTTTCTCAATCTGATGACTCCAAAGCCTCAAAGAAAATGATACACCGGTGGGAGGCACCATCATCAGGGGAAAGGGCTCTGTGGGAGAGCGATCACCTCGGTTCATGATCCCTGGGTGTGGAGCCCGAGGACCATGCAGCAAACACAAATGGGAAAATACAAATCCCAGCTCCCTGGGCCATGAGGCTGCTCCCAGCTTGGGCTGCAGACAGGAGCAACACAATCGAGCACAGGGCTGGCTGGTGCTGCCTTTCACCAGGAAGCTAAGTTCTACCCCCTTTCCTTTGGCCACTGTTCAATTTGGACTTCTGTGGAGCATCAGACCCCTGGGTATCATGACAGAGGTGGCGGGCCTGTTAGCACCAGTTAGCAGGAGAGGCCATGGAGTGGGCAGTCTATGCTGAGATGTGCCCAGAGCAGGCAAGGAAGGAACGCGTTGGCCTCCAGTGTACCTTCTGTGTCTCAAAGCAAAACTCAAAAGGACCCAAACAGCGCCACTGGGAGCTGAGGGCGGCATGTGTTCTCTCTACTGGGTCCACAACACCCAACCCTGGCCCGCCAGGGGGGACCCTCCCGTGCCCAGGTCCCCAGCCTGCTGCTGGCAGGGCCACGCACCGAGTACTTGTTGCACACATCCCGTTCTGCAGTGCAGTCGACCTCAGCGATCTTGACCTCTGCCAGACCAGGGAACTCCTCCTTAGACAGCTCCTCCCAGGTGGGAGCCAGGTTCTTACAATGACCGCACCTAGGACGGGGCACAGCAGCATGGTGAGGACATTCACTGCCACACCCGCCCGCGTCTTCTGTGACAGTCAGCAGCCGCCCGGGAAGCCACAAAACATCAAACTGCCCTGCTGGGTGCACACTAACTCCTCTTCCCCCACCCCAAACAGGAACTCGGATTGCTCAGCATTATACAATTTCAGAACCTCCTTTTCTTGGTGCTTGTGATTTAGAGAGGCCCTGACAAAGTCTGGTTCAAGCCTGCTCTTGCCCCTTGTTCTTTCTCATCTCTTTCTGATCCTGTCCTATCACATGGGCTTCTCCCCTTCGATGCAAGGGAATTGTCTTTTTTCACTCTTGGTCTACACAGCTCTGGAGAGCTGTGCTCACTGGCTCTTCGTCCCTGCCTCTGTGGTTTCTCATGAGGACCTGGGGTCAAACAAGCACACAAGCAAAAGTGATGTGGACTGAAAAGTGATGTGGACTGCTGGGGCCTGTTCAGGTGAAGAATCCCACACTCTCCCAAACACACCACTTGTCCTCGGAACCACGAAACACAGTTTCCATTTCACAGCTGAGGACAGGGAGAACCAAGGGGTTCAAAAGTCATAATGTTTGTATGTGGTGTGAGGGAAAACTGCGGTGTGTTTAAAAATCAATTAAAGTCACACTGCCGTTAACCCCCTTTATCCCACTGTTCTCGTCACTTTCCAAAGAGGTTCTGAAGTCCCCTTTCGTGTCTTTAGCTGCACAATTGTAACTGCCTCGGTGTCCTGAATCAATCCAAGATGTTTACCTTTCACAGTCACTTTGAGCGTGGGTAAGAACCAGAAATAGCAGTGCCGGCTCCAGTGAATAAGGTGTGTGAGCACACAAGAGCCTGCCTTTCCTTTGGGTGGAACTCGGCAGCAGCATTTTCTGTATTTCTGATCATGTTTCATAAAGGCACTCACAAAGGACAACTTCCAGAACCACTTCCGTAAGTGCCCAGGCACGACAGGACAAGTGTGTCTGAAGTCAAGAGGAGTATCTGGATGGGGATTAATGGCAATGTATCTTTTACTGCAACAAAGTTTTAAAAGTTTGGACATTCACCATATTTTCTGGTCACTGCTTGTAGTTCACAGCCAGCCTTAGACCCTGTCACCTTGCCACCTCAGATTGTCTCAGTCTCAAGTGATCTCACTCCATTCATGTCCTTTTCCCCAAGGACCAAGCAGCAGGAAGGGACAGGTAACTGGGTCACATACTCAGCGTCACACAGAAAGCTGAGTTCTGCTGGGTTTCCCTTCAACATTATTCTAAAGAATCCCAGGAGCTGAGCTACATCATGTTCCCCGTTTGATGTAAATGTATTTGGAAAAGTACTCAAACGCCATAAAACTTAAGTTTTGTAAGGACATCATAAGCCACCCCATTTCTGTTCCCTCCTAAATAGACTGAGCTTTAAATTGACCTCCTCCTCTATAAGCAATTCCAAGTGCCACGGAATGGGACCCTGTCTGAATTCAGGGCTCTGGTGAGGGCTCCTCGTCCTGTGCTGGCTGGATGTGCTATCTGCTGATGGTAAGTCTGTGAGGTTGGCTACTACGCTGGAAAACCAGCTGGGATGTAAGCACACTGGACAATGTTGCTTCTACTGAAGCAACCACTTACCATGGAGCATAGAACTTGACAAAGGTTATTCCTTCTGCTATGGCGCTGTCGAAGTTCTTTTCAGTGAGTGCCAACACGGTGCTCTGCAGGACAGAAGAAAGCCACAGCTCAAATGCCAGTCTTTAAATTGCCATTTTGCACACATGCATACACAGCAGAGATGATGGCCTGGGGGCTGGACAGTCAGTCACAGGTACCTGCTGTCCTGTGCAGCAGGCCAAAAGCTTGAGGACACCCAGACCTGCCCGCCCACGTCAGCCCCAGAGGCCCAGGTGCAGCCTGAGCCTGACCTGCTTTCCACACTGACCGCTTTCTCTCCCCAGGCCGCGGCGAGCGTTCCCCTTCTCTGCATAAGAGGACATGTCATTAGGACAGCACAGGCAGCAATACGTGTTTTACATAGAACGGGCTGCTTTCCATTCTACGTGCAAAGTAAATATGCAAAACACTCAACCAAGCTCTGGCTAGAGAGTTTTTAGGGAAGGCCACCATGCTGTCAGCTTCAACCCAGTCCCAGGCTGACAGCTCTTAGAAGGGTTCCATCTGTTTCCAGGGGGCGGCTGTTTACCATGTGGCTCAGTGTGGCAGGAGCCTGAGGCCAGGCAGGGCCGTCTCACAACACTACCATCCTCATGTCTATCGACGCCTCCACGCTCACTGCAAGGCCCACTGGATGGTGGAAACGTCTCACACCCAGTTCCATGGTGAAGTCTCCGCAGCATAGAATTATGCTTACTTTGGGATGACCTTTATCAGGCCTCTACTAGATGCAGTCACAACAAATACACATCACTCGTTTGCTTCCTCCACCACCTCAGCTTTTCACTAAGGCCCGGCCGTCCCTCACTCATAAGGGGGCAGGTGGCTCTTGTTTTTCCAATCACAAGCCACCAGAGGGTCCGGGGAGGGACAGCTCTGGCGAATCATGTTCTCTCACGTGTGTCGAGGGACCTGGGGAGCCCACTGTCCCCAGTAAGGGCATGGCACGTACTGGGGTGCAGAAGCAGCCGTGTAAGTGCAGATGTCCACAGGAGCCACACACCAAGGATCCCAAACCCCATGCATGCTCAGGTCCTGGATACAGCAGGTGGCAAAGTATTTGTACCAACGATACGAACACCCGCCTAGACACTAAATCATCACCAGCTGGCTTGTAACACCTAATGCAATGTAACTGCTAGGGAAGGACAAGGAAAAGGCCACACATGTTCAGCCAGAATGTATGCGGCTGGTTGCACCGGTGGGCATGGAGCGCCAGCTGAACTCTGTGCTGGAAACATGAGGAGCAACAGTCCTTCCTCACTGCTCCTCCGAGACATTCCTCGGCCCCTCCTGCTCTGCTCCTTCCCTGCGCTCAGGCTGAGCACATCTTCCTGCCTCGCCCCTGGAACGTCAGGCCCTGTAGCCGGATTTCAGGCTCTCCTCTGCGCCTGCGGTCACACCCTCAGCTTGGGGACTCCATCTTTCAGGGTCCGTCCAGCAGCTTGTTTCTCCTACACCTGTGGCTGTGGCTCACCGTTCTATATTCACATCTACTCAAAACCTCCAGGGGCTCCGGGCAGGCTCTAGATGTGGCTCACAGTCCTCACCTGGCCGGCTGAGTCAGCGCACTCTGGCTGTGGCTCCCCCACACTTCACCCCTTGGCCTGCACCCATCCTAAACTCACAGCTGGGCTTTTCCTCCACCTGGCAGCTCCCCAGTCCTGTGTCCCAGGGTGAGCACCCTGCATGCTCGCTGTCATAGCCCTGTGTCACGGACTCCTATGAGGGGTCCCCTTAGCCCCCTGCCCAGGATGGTGCCTGAAACCTAACAGAGGCTCGCAGGCACAGAACAAAGACATCTACATCCTAAGGCGACCTCAGTGAATGGAGACCATGCCCTGGCACATCAGCCACAGACGCTCAGTGCCCGCACACCACTCCCTGCTGCAGACCTTTCCGAGGCCTTAGCCCCGGGGCCAAAGCAAGTGCTCGAAGTGAAAAGAAATGGGCTGAGGGGCAGCAGCCAAACGCCCTGCACAGAAAACATGGGAAGGGAAGGGTCTCTGACAGCTTTCTAAATCCACGCCTCTCAGGATCCCTCTCACCTCTATTGCATTCAGAAGCTCCTACAAGTGCATCAAAGATGAACAAAAAGGTTTGTGTTGAGGCCGCTGCGCTCTGTTGCTGTGCTCACGGAGAAGGCCCGCTCCATCCATCCCAACTCGAAGCAGCGGGCACTCACCTTGTGCTCTGTGGGCTCCTCGGCCAGCACTGGGGCCTCTGAGGGCTCCACGATCTCAGGGGCTCCGGGCTCCAGAACTTGCAGCTGCAACACCACGTAGTCTCTCAGCGACTCCAGGTCCCGCTTTCCCTTGTACTGATCCACCTGTCCGAGACACGGCCCACGGGGATGATGCTGAGCTGTCTCCTGTCACAGTGCTCTGATCATCGCCCCTGACCCCACAGGTCCTCGGTGTGGCTCGTCACACTGTGTGAGGAAGGCTCCCACTCCCACCCAGTAGCCAAGGAGAGACCATAACCTGCCCTGGCCTGGGGGAGGAGGGTACAGCTCTGCCCTGTGGAGTCTGGACTGCAGGTGGTCAATGCACCATCAGGCTGACCAAGCCCAGGCAGAGGAGGGGCTGAGCCTAGCTGTCCCAGTTCTAGGCTCTGCAGGCCTGGCTGGTGACCAGGGCAGGGACCCTGCGCCTCGGCAGCAGGTGATTCATGATAACCTGAGCCACTGGAATGTCTCAAAACAGCAGAACAGTGGTCCTTTTTCTCAGCTACCCAGATCTTATCAATTAAAGAGAAAGACATCTGTTCCACGGTACGCATTTCCCCAAGCTAGGGGCCAAAAGCCATAGAAAGTGTTCTCTGGAATCTAACACCCATTACACACTCAGCAGCTCCGCCCTCTGCAGCCACAAGAACTGAAGACCTGAAGACCCACCTTCTTGCCATTTCGGAACCAGAGCAGAGTGGGGTAGCCTCGGACCTGGTGTTCTGAGCAGAGTCCATAGTGCTGCGTACAATCGACCTGAAAACGAAGCGCGATAAAGCTCCGATCAGTTTCCTCATGGCCTTGTGCTGAAGGGACTTTCAGGTTCCTTGTACTTAAAGAGAAGCTTTTTAAAATTCACATTCCATAGCATCTATGCCAGCAAGTTGCAGTTTTAGGGGAGACTTCCTAGAAGCTACCCCAAAATACACCTGAGCTAAGGAACAAGGTAACAAGATTTATTTTAGACAAGATTGGGTGCATTGAAGGTGGTATGGCTGTAGACAAGACTTATTTTATTTAATTCAGCTGAAAATGCCAGTTCTTAGGAAGCTGCTCCCTCTCAGCAGGGGAGCAACAGACAACAGCGAACCTCACCAGACACCCAGAAGGGGCAACAGCCTATCTGCTATGAGCAGGACCCTTCGCTGGGCTCACAGAGCCAGCCTGGAAACGTGCTCTCATGTCGAACTTAGGCAGTCTAAAAGCCACACAGCCAGGCCGGGGATGTGGCAGGAAAATGGGCTGAGAAAGACCATGTGGTATCAACAAATAAGGTCAACACCTCAGACCTAAGACCAGTGGAAGAGCAGTGGGAGGGCTAAATGAAAGCACAGGCGGCCCGACCCACAGTCACCGGAGGGGCGAGCACCTGCGAGGTCACTGTACCAGCCCACTGCTCAGGCCTGGGCTGAGTGTAGATGACCTCCCATAACAGCTCATGACGTAACCGAGTGAGGGTACAAGGAATGGGGTGAGACAGAAGATTTATCAGCACTGCCAGGGAATCTTCAGGAAATAACACAGTCAATCACAACACATCATCAGAACACACTACTAAAACCAACAGGCAAAAATGAAAACTATTTGACAGTGATTACCATTTATTAAGCATTTGCTTCACACCAAGGTGTTTCCATCTTTACAACTGCACTCGGTATACCTTGTCTGTTTCGCAAAGGGAGAGGGACACAGAGAAGCTTCACCCCAAGGTCGTCCACTCAGGTCTATCAGACCCCCAAATTCTGCTTTGGACCATCTCCCTGGGTACTGTCATACCCAGACCTACAGCACCACTTCTACACATAGATGAGTCCCACAGCAAAGCAGGAAAAGTGAAATTTTTAAAAAAGAAATCCACACGGGATGTCTGGGGGGTGCCAGAGGGTGGGTCAGAGGAAAAGTGCCTGACAGAGTTGTGGAAAATCCGGGTTCACAGACCTCACTGGACGCGGCTTCTCTACATCCCAGGAAAGGTCCCAGGCCACAGTGCAGACCAGGCTCACAGTGTGTGAGGAGGGCCTTCTGTGAGCCCACAAGAGTGCACAGCCAAGGGCCCTCAGGAAGGGCCCCAGGGGAGCCACAGATGTTCAGAGAATGGTCTATAAGGCTCCACTTGTGCCTCACAGAAGGGCTTGGGCTGCCAACTCAGATTGGCCGTCTCTTCCAAATGAACAAAGCAGCCAAGGCCATAATGTGTCTGGGCTGTGGAAAAGCCAGCAAACTCAACACTGGGCTGCCATCTGTGAAGGTGAAATTAATTATCAAGTGGCATACTAAATGGAATTAATAAATCAAGCTTGCAACTCTGCACATGGAATGGATAATAGGCCACACTGGTAATTAATCCGGCTCAATACAGTCTATTTCCAGTTTAATAATGGCTCTCGCTTACCTTGCCAATCTTGACAGTTTCCGAATGTTTGAGGCCCTGAGCCAGCTGCTCCCAGGTCGGGGCGAGAGCTTTGCAATGACCGCACCACGGAGCGAAGAACTTGATAAAGTGGTCACCTGTAGGGGGTGCCGAGGCGGAGGAAGAAGGGAGAGGCACTTAACTCAGGTCAGACCCACCCGGGGTCAGACTAAAGAACCAGATCTTTGTCTTCTGGCTCAGCAAATCTGTTTGGTCTGAACCCTCAAAGGTTGCACAGTGACTTTCTATCACATGGAGAACATCCAGGAATCCTCAGCAAGGTTCAAAACACAACCAAACTTGCCAGCTATGGAGGAGAGTAGGGAACCAGCCCATGGGCGGAGGGAGGACTGGCAGCAAAGGGAGAACCAGGTATCTGCCCTGTCTTTCCTGTGAACAGGGACACTGACTGAGCAGGGGATACACCAGGTTGTTTTGCCCTCTCTGGAGCTAAGAGTCCGCACTGGACAGTGTAGGGAGAGGCTACTGTGACTGAGGGCCACGTCCATGGTGAACAGAGACAACCAGATACTCTGCCACCAGCAGCCATGAGGTCTTCCTGTGCTCCCACAGAACATCAAGCTGAGACCACACCCTCAGATCAGACCACCAGCTGACAGGAATAGAGAAATCTGGGAAGTGTGGAAACCTCCTGTGGGAATTCAATCAGCAAAATCCAGACTGTGCAGAACAAACTGTGCTCTCAGCAAGGAGAATGCAAGAAAGAAAGAGACGCTGTGGGGCCGGCAGCTGAGAGAGGTCCTCAGAGAGGTGGAAACAGATGCCTGGGCCAACAGTAGTTATGTCCCGCTAAACCTGCTATGAGCTGAAAATACACTGAATTTCCACACAACATAAAGTCGAAATATCCTAAGTCTGACTGTGGTGAGTCAGAACCATCTGTACATGAAAACAGTCACTCCATGCTTGGGAGTGAACAATGTAAGCCACATAGACAAGGAGTGGCTTCCACAGAGGTCAGGAGAGGCCGCCTCGGGTAGCGACGGAGGACACAGGGCAGCGTGGGTGGGGCCTGAGAGGCTGGTGGTGTGGCTTCCCAGGCTGGGCCAAGATGGCGTCACACTTCACCAAGCCCTGCACCTGCATTCTGTATCTGTTCTATTCTGCTATACAACCGCAGGTTTAAAAAACAGTACCATCCTCTTGGATAGGAGAAAAGAAGAAATCACACTCTCAGGACATTATCTGGACACTGTGGTCTTTACCTGAGCCCAGCCGCGGTCAGGGGTGAGTGGGAAGTGGCCTGGCTCCCAGCAGAAGGGCGCCCCACGCCATGCTGCCTACAGTGACACCGGTGAGGCAAAAGGGGAAACACCGCTTCTCAGCCCAGCACCTGACCTGCCAGGCTGAACCCCAGTACGTGCACACAGCGGGTCACTACCGACCTCCACGGCTCAGGGTCTTCAGAAATCTGAGCAGGGTGCCAGGGGAAACCAGCTTGGGCAGGAAGCCCATGTCCCTTGACAGGACATGGCAGGCAGCAGCAGCAGGACTCCCGGGGGCCTGGCTGGGCTGCGCCTGTGGGACACCATCTGTAACTAAGCTGGCAGGGTACTGCACCCTGCGTGAGGCCTGAGTCAGCCTGATCCTGAAGTGAATCTCCTACAGAGGAAGCATGTCGAGGTCCCATCGCTGCCTGGTGCGCATTAAATAACCACGGCTAAGGGCATCTTGCTAAGGTATTTTAGATAATGAGTGAGGGGACAGCAGAGGTCCGACTCGCAGCAGCGTACGTTACAAGGGCACACGCGATTCGGAGCCCTTTCTCACAGTTTTCTACCCAGCTTTGGGAGGATTTCTCTCCATGGCAGCGCTGGACAACGGGAGCCAGCAAGGAAGCTTCATTTGCTTTCTGGCCACTGGCGGCCGGGCCAACTTTTCTACACGCTGAAACGCATCCATGTGTGAACAGAGACCTGAGTGTTATTCACATGGAGAATGCAGCCGAGCAGTTAGCAGGCCACTTCCAAAACATGACATGTGGTATAGAAAGATATTTAAGTGCAAAGAATCTCTAAATTTCTGTTTAACAGGCAGAAGTATTTGTGTGTGTGTGAGGTCAATAAGCACGATCAACATCAATATAAACACTTTCCTAGCCAAGCTAATGTACAAACTGCGCAGACTTGTGTGTGTGAGCAGCAGCCTTCCAACCTGAAGGCCTCAGCATGGCACTGGGCCTGCTATGCTTCTAAGAGCAGAGCAAAAGGAGAGCTGGGTCTGACAGCAGATGCACAGACAGCCAGTCCTTACAGGTCCTGAAGAGAGATGGTGCCCCCTGACCCCACCAGCCACAGAGCCAGGCCGTGGCTCCGTGAAACAGGCACCTCCACAGCACCCACCAGACTGGCTGAGGCCTTACCCTGTGCAATGTGCAGCTCGAAGTTGCTGGCTGAGAGTTCATACAGGCCCTGCTTGAGCTCAGGGGCTCTGGGTGGTTCTGCTTCTGGCTCTGGTGTCTGACAGGAAGAAACAGAGCAGTCAGCCTGTGCACACACTGTACAGACCCTCCTGAGGTACCCACCTGCACCTGCCAGCCTCACACACACCTGTACAGAGCTGTTGTGCTGAGCAAGGCCGGAGCAAGGCCTCTGTCAGGCACTTCACCACCAAGCTCCTTGCCAGCCTGAGAATGAAGCTCCAGGGCAGCCAGCAACAGCTGTCCCCACCCCACTCCCAAACAAAGAGAAGCTAAGGACAGTCCCACCCCAAACATAGCCCTCTGCTGTAGATGTACGCTGAGGTTTCACAGATTACACAGTAAGCTTCCCAACGGGCCAATTCGGGAGGGTCAGGACCTACGGACACAAAGGAAGCAATGGACACAGGGAGCCGGGGGGGGGGTCTGCTTTCCTTAATTCACACAAGTGGGAGGAAACCATGCAGGGAGGGAGGACAACCACCATGAAGAGAAGAGTAGGTGAGTCGGGGAAATCCAGCTCATGGAGGGCAGCAAACAGAAAAGCACGGGGCAGGCCTCACAGGAAGAATACAAGGCACACCACTAGGTCTGGGAGAGAAACACAAAGGGGGAAGGCTGGCTTTTAAAAAGATGCTTCTGCTGGCACAGCAGTGCAAAGGCCCATGCTGCTCACTAGATGGAGATACTACCCAACGGGCACGTACGTCTGTGATGAGGTGTATTTTAGAAAGCAGGCTAGTCAGATTAATGGTAAGGATACAACAAACTGTCATACAGTTACTTAGAGCTCATGAAGTGCTTATTTCTAGAATTCTCTGGGTAATATTTCAACCTTGGGTAACTGAAACCACAGAAAGCAGAAAGCTGGCTAAGGGGGACAGCTTTCCTGAGGGGACACCACGCGCACACAGTTCCCACACTGCTAGGAGATTCTAAATTTCTCAGTTTCCAAGGCCAGGTACTTTCCTGGCTTCCAACCAAACTAAGCAGAAGAAGAAAAGACCATGGAATCCCTGTTTGCTGCAGATACCTGGTGTACATGACTCATTTCTCACCTAGCAGTTTATGTTCCCATCAAAGACAGCAAACATCCTGGGTGAGTTGTTTTAAGTGCTGACAGCCCAAAGCGAGAGCCGTGATCGCAAAGCAGGTGAAGCTCTCCTCTCTGCCCCAACTTGTCCGGGTTTCCAAAGTGTTAAATGCCACAAAAAGCAGGACTGGGTGAAGGGTGAGTCCAGGGAGGGTAGGCGGAGCGCCGTTTGTACCTGGCCTCAGAAACTGAGGAATTCCGAAACACGCAGAGGGCTTCTGGTGGCAAAATGCTCCTGTGTGGCACTGAGTGCCCCTGACACGCGCCACAGCGACCCCACCTGCCTTGGTGCCACTGCGAGACACACATGGGGGCAGTGGGGGCCACCTGCATCCTCAGGAAGCATCTGGGGGTACTCGTGAAACTGGCTTTTGGCTTTGCAGTTTTATGTCCAGGAATATACTTTAAAAACACTCACTTAAAAGAAAAGGGAATAATTCTTTACAAAGATAAAAGTGTTCCATTTAACACTGTGATGACTGAATTAAATACCTAGAGAGAAGAAACACACTACTGCAAATCCAAGAAACGGTAACACAAAATATGATCGACACTGAAACCATAAACTGTACGAAGTCACTAAGAAAATCATTTATATGATTATTTAACTTTACAAAAGCAAAAACAAATATAAAAATTGGAGTGGAATGTAAAAAACAGATTTTCTTGTGTGACTTTCTGTATTACCATGACTTGCAAGAGAAAATTCTAAATTCATTCTGCAAAAATATAAAAATGTACGTATTAATAAGTTACTTAGGTACAGCTGGTAAAAATTTTTCCCCACATTGTAGATTGTCTCTTAGTTCTGCTAATGATTTCTTTTGAAGTACAGAAGCTTTTTAGTAAGATGAGATCCCAGTTGTTGATTCTTTCTGCTAGTTCCCATGCTACTGAGGATTTGTTCATAAAGTCTTTTCCTATGCCAATGTCTTCCAGATTTCTGCCTAACTTACCTTCCAGCAAGTTTAATGTTTCTATTTTAATATTTAGATCTTTAATCCATTTTGATTTTAATTTAGTGCATGGCGAAAGATAAGGGTCTAATTTTAATCTGTGGCAGGTTGACATCCAGTTTTTCCAACACCATTTATTAAAGAGGCTATCTTTCCTCCACTGAGGATGGTGAATTTTTACCAGCTGTACCTCAGACAAAGGACTATTATCAAGGATATATAAAGAACTCAAAACAATCAGTCCCCCCAAATATAAAGACCCGATTCAAAAATGGGCATCCGAAATGAACAGACATTTCTCCTACAAAGAAGTAAAAGCAGCAAGAAAATATATGAAAAAATGTTCCACATCACTGGTCATTCGAGAGATGCAGATGAAAACAACACTGAGATTCCACCTCACCCCACAAAGAATGGCTGCTATCAAGAAATCACACAATAACAAATGTTGGCGGGGTTGTGGGGAGAAAGGAACCCTCCTCCATTGTTGGTGGGAGTGCAGACTAGTGCAACCACTATGGAAATCAATATGGAGATACCTCAAAGAGCTTGGACTG